ACTGACCAGCGGCTGACTACAGGAAGCCCGAGGCAGAGTTGCTCTGCCCCAGGCTTCCTGGAATCAGCTGCGGATCAGTTTCAGCAGCAGCTGACTTGGGGACGCCTGGGTTTCTTAAGTTGAATCTGTATGTAAGTCAGAACTGGCATCCAGATTCAGCCGCGGTTGAAACTGATCAGTTTCAGCAGCGGCTGACGCCAGTTCCGACTTACATACAGATTCAACTTAAGAACAAACCTACAGTCCCTTTCTTGTACGTAACCCGGGGACTATTATTATTATTATTAATCATTATCTTCAATAAGAGTTAAATTGTTCCCCCTTTTGAACATCTTATGAATCGTGTAAGTTAATCTGGGACATTTTGGCCAATACAGCATCACAATATAGCACCTGGTGGCCACAGAAACTCTTCTCACACATATACCTAAACCGCTCAAACCACTTGACAAAAGGAAATAGGAAAAATCAAACTATGCTCAAATGTTTTAAAATCCAACTCATTCCAAGAAACACTACCAAAGAAATTATGCTTTACATAATTAAACACTCTCCTGCAGTTCAAAAACGCAAGACAAAACAGTATTATTCCAGAGAGAAACAGAATGTGAAATTAGATACCAATTAAATAACTACTCTATTATCCCTTTCAGAGCTCAGCAAACCTGAAAACCCAACTAGTATAACCACTGACAACTTTAGACTGATTCCATTTTAGATTTTCATGAGGAAATCAAAATCTTACGTGAGAAGCTCTTTAAAAAGTTGCTTTACTAGCATGGTCACACTTAGCAATGGAAGAGCCACCATAATCCAGTTATAAACAAACTGTTCTGGTTTCAAGTCAGTGATCCCCAGAGAAAGTGCCAATCTTAACAATCAGTGCTACAGAAACAGACCCTCAGCACGCAAATGAATCGCTACTCAAGTCATCTGGTCTCTGCACAGACACCCAATGCCAATTAGGGATGTAAGCGACTAGTCAGATATTCGACTAGGCACTTCCCCCTCCCTTTGCTGCCTCCATTGGAGAGAGGAAGCGAGGGGAACAGGAGCTGGTGGGAGCTGCAGGGCTCTTGCTACATTTCAAAGGCAGAAGCGCCACAGTGGGAACCGGTGCAAGCGGGAACTGCTTCAGTCCCCACTTGTGCCGTTTCCTTGCTATGCCTCTTCCTCCCCTGCAATAACAGGGGATGGAACAGGAGCCGGTGCTGGGGGGAGCCGACTTAAAAGTTAATCCCCCCCAGCACAATCTCTGGAGTGCTGCCTGTCCCCACCCCACTGCCTCTATCAGAGGCAGCGGGAAGGGCGGGGGGGGAATAGGGGAGGCTGCTGCAAAGCAGACCCTGTCTGCAGGGGTCCTTCCAAGCAGCCTCTG